CGTTGTGGCTATGAGGAGGACAAGAAGGGACTGGAATCGGCATCACTGTAGTAACGCTCCTTGGAGATGCATAATTGAAAATGCAAAGTCACCTAATTAAGTAGCAGAAGCACACGAGGTTAATAGCGAGAATTATTTGCATTTTCTCTGACAAGCTACTGTTCTGCACTCCTGTCTTCTAATTAGCAGCAGTGCATCTGCCTGCCAACTATAAATCAAATCAGAAGAAGAATTAAAAGTCCTCGTGGGTCATTCGGTGAGGCGCAGTTAGGATTTAGTTAGCTTTAGCCTGAGCTAGTCGAGCTGGTTCCAACATTTCCAATCCACTCGAGCTTCATCTTCAATCACATCCGTACTTTAATCTAAATAACACGTCGTCTCCTCTGACTGGCAATAATAACAAACTGGTGTAAAACTGAGCTGCAGTTCCCGCTTAAGTCCTGTTGTTGCTCTGAGCCTCTTTTCTACGAGGCCCGATGAGGAGGTCTTAATTAGCTCAGATGATCTGCTCTCCTTACAGGAAGGGAGAACGGAGTAAATGAGCCCCGTTCTCCCCTTTCTTTGTTTAATGACAAAGGAAATTACCCACATGTAAGTAATCTGTGTGATTCCAGCAAAAGCAGTCAAGTGAGAAAATAAATATTAAACCGAGAGCGAGAAAGAGGAAGAGAGCAGCGCTGGAGAGTCAGCAGCTGCTAATGAAGACGGTGGAGAGGAGAAACTTTAAAGAACTTTCAGGAAGTCAATTTAGAAAAAAAGGGAGAGACATTTTTTACAAGCTGTAGTGTTTAAATATGCAGGACTCTGATGTAATATGTGTAATCAGGTTATAACGACTGTCATTGTAAGCATCACTAAAGCTGTTGTAGGAGAAGAGCATCGAATCTCTGCAATCATGTTCTCAAATCTGGTAGAAAGCCTGAAACACAAAAAGCTCGAGACGACCGAGTTAAACACCAAAAACACAACTTTGGCCATTTGGTGAATGTAATTTAACCTGTAAAAAAATGTGCTAGAAATTCAAATAAGGAACGAATTAACCATCGAAAATCACAGAAATGGAAACCATCTGTTGTGATCAAGAGTTTATGTACACTAGTAAACACCATGTTTATCACCTCAGTGTCCAGTGACTCCTCTTGAGTTTCTGTGATGGAATCAGTGAAACAAAGAAAACAATCCTGCATTTTGATTCTCTCACAGATTTAAAACCGGTCTTCTGGAAATATGATGAAATCTGCTGGGTCAAAAATACACATAGCAAAGTTAAGATTTGGTTAAGTGTCCTTTGGTTATTTTCACCTCAACTACATGCTTTTGGTTTCCGTCCACAAGCTTCTGGTTGCATCTTTGACGACTTCAGTTGACAGAATTGGTGCAGTTTAACTAAATCTGTTGTTGCTGTTGATGGGTTTAAGTCCAGAAGACCGGTCTAAAACCTGAATTCTAGCCTGATTGAACCATTTCTTTACCACTTTCCGTGTGTTTGGGGTCATTTACCTGTTAAAACAACCAA